AATGGGTAAAAAAAATGTGGTACATACATCCAACAGAATATTATTCAGCTTTTAAAAAGGAAATTCTAACACCTTACAACATGAATGAACCTTGAAGAGGTTATGCTAAATAACACAGGCTAGTTATAAAAGTACAAGTATTGTATGCTTCCTTTTATTTACTTATTTATTTTTTTGAGACAGAGTCTCACTTCAGTGCCCCCAGTAGAGTGTACTGGCGTCAGCTCACCCTCTAACTCAAGCGAGTCTCTTGTCTCAGCTTCCTAAGGACAGAACTACAGGCGCCTGCCACAACGCCCAGCTATTTTTAGAGATGAGGTCTCACTCTAGCTCAGGCTGGTCTCGAACCTGTGAACTCAGGCAATCTGCCCATCTTAGTCTCCCAGAGTGCTAGGGAGACTGCCACCTCGCCTGGCCTTATTTTCCATTTTTTTAAGAGATGGGGTCTAACTACATTGCCCACGCTGCTCTCAAACTCCTGGCCTTAAGCAATCCTCCTGCCTCTCTCTCCTCAGTAGCTGGGATTGTAAGCATGAGGTATCAAGTCTGGAGTGCTTCCTCTTACAGGATGTTACTGACATAGCCAAATTTAGAAAGACAGAAAGGAATGATCGTTGCTAGGAGCTTGGGGGAGGGAAGGCCGAGAACGGGTAGCTATTTAATGGGTACAGTTTCACAGTTAGGAAAGATGAAAACATTCTGGAAATGGATGGAGATGATGGTTACACAATGTGAATGTACTTAACTGACAATGAACTACACACTAAAAGTTGGTTAAAATGGGGCAGTTTATGTTATACATATTTGACTACACACACAAAAAAACCACAAGGTACTATTTCATATCCACTAGGATGGCTAAAATCAGAATGCCAGATGGTGACAAGTTTTGACAACCTTGTACAGAAATTAGAACTCTCACCTGTTGCTATGGGAATGACAGTTTCTCACAAAGTTAAAAATACAATTCCTATACTGGTTGCTATAACTCAGTAGTTAGAGAGCCACCTCTGTGAACTGAGAGTGTAGAGTTTGAACCTCACCTGGGTCTGATTAAGGAAAAAAAAAAAAGGAAAGAAAAAGAAAATTCCCACAGGATCCAGCAATTCCACTGCTAGGTATAAAGAACTGAAAACACAAAACTTGTATGTGAATGTTCATGGGATCATCATTCATAACAGTCAAAAGTACACCACATGGATATCACGTGATAAGTAACAAACCATGGTGTGGCCAAACTGGACCACTACTGAGCTATAAAAAAAAATTTTTTTTTTTTTTTTTGAGACAGAGCCTTAAGCTATCGCCCTGGGTAGAGTGCTATGGTATCACAGCTCACAGCAACCTCAAACTCCTGGGCTTAAGGTATTCTCTTGCCTCATTCTCCCAAGTAGCTGGGACTACAGGAGCCCACCACAATGCCTGGCTACTTTTTGGTTGTAGTTGTCGTTTAGCAGGCTGGGGCTGGATTTGAACCCACCAGCTCTGGTGTATGTGGCTGGTGCCTTAGCTGCGTGAGCTACAGGCGTCACCTAAAAATCTTTAGGAATAAAATAGATACACACACAATATGGATAAACCTGGAAAACACTACACTCAGTGAAGGAAGGCAGTCAGAAGAGACCACAGTTTATGTTTCAGTTTATGGTAAAATGTCCAGAAATGGCAAATGTATAATACAGGAAATAGATTTGTGGTTGCCTGAGGAATAGGGGACAGGGAGCAACTGCTAATGGGTACAGGGTTTCTTTTGGGGTGATAAAAATATTCTGGAATTAGATTATGGTAATGGTTACACAACTGTGTCAATATTCTAAAAACCAAAGAACTGTAAAAGGCAGAATTTTGGGTGGGTGAGGTGAAGTCCTACCTCTCTGGGAGGCCAAGGTGGATGGATTGGTAGAGCTCACCAGTTCAAGAGCAGCCTGAGCAAGACCCCATCTCTAAAAAATAGCTGGCTGTTGTGATAGCTGCCTGTAATACCAGCTACTTAGGAGGCTGAGGCAAGAGAATCCCTTGGGCCCAAGAGTTTGAGGTTACTGTGAGCTATGATGCCACAGGGGCAACAAAGTGAGACTCTCAAAAAAAAGGCAGAATTTTAAGTGAATGACATCTCAGTTTTTAAAATTATGGGGTTTCTTTCATATTCAGATCTTTTGGATTTAGATTTTAGATAAGTAATTGAAACATTTTTATCAAGTCATAATAAAAGATATATTCTGGGGATGGTTACTTCTCTTATTTTACCTTATAAATGTATTATTTTATTAACCAACAATTAGACTAAAAAATTTCAGAAGTCAAATGAAAATATGAGAGAGTACATAAGTTTTCAAACTTTTTAAAAAACTTATTCTAGCAAACATGTCTGACTGCTGTTGTTCTAGATGAGGTGGCACTTAGCACTTTCTGCATTACTTTTAAGCTCTGGTGTGGCCAGTGACACATAGAGACAGCAGCAGTGCACCTGGGCAAGTCATATACCCCTGGACAGCCAGACACCAATCCTTTCACCTCATACTCCCAAGAACACAGGTGACACTCTCCTGCTGGCTTTTCCAAAGCAGTCCCTTGCCTCAGTGAGCTGAAGACAGGAAAATTACCCTTACTCTTCTCCTCCCTATGTTAGTGGTTCTACCAAGAGGTAGAATGAAGTGAGAAATATATTTTATATCCTTCCTGTTACAAAGCACTATAGTGAGTGACCTTATATGACTGGATTGTTAACAGATGCTGCTAGAAGAATTCTACTTTGATAGTTTTCCTGGTTTCAATGTACCTAAAAGTGAGAATAATTACTTCAAATTATAATGTACTCCTAAGGTGTTTATATGCAAACAAGTGATTTTTATGTTTGAAGACATTTCTGTATTTTTACTATACCTAGCCTAAGTTTTGCTCCTTTAAAGTCATGTTAGGATAAAGATTTCAAATACTAACCAAAGGTTTCATAAGGTTCTTCATCTTTCTCAATTTCATCCAACCTGCCAATCTTTGAGCTATCAGAATTATCAGGAAAATCAAACGCATCAGGAGGCTTGCACTTTGGATCAGTTTTCTAAAAGAGAATAAGGTCAAAGTCACTGAACTGCCTCTCACAAGCAAAGAATATTACAAAGCTGATTTTTAACAAGGATATTCTTGTTATCACGTCTGCCTAAAGAAGCAATTCTTATGCATGAAACAATGGATATACCAATGACCCTGACTGGGTCATTACACAATGTACATATATCAAAACATCAAATTCTATCCCACAAATATGCACAATTACAATGCATCAGTTTAAATCAATGAAAGAATCAATCCTTAACTCTTCTTTAAGGCACACAGACTCCTCTGAAAATTTAAAGCAGGGTTTGGGAAACTGTTTCTCTAAAAGACCAGAGAGTATTTTAGGTTTCGTGGGCTCTTGGTTGTACCCTAACTAACTCTGCCATTGCAGTGTGAAAGCAGACAGTGACAATGCAAAAAGAATGTGCATAGATGTGTTCCAATACAATTTGACTTACGGATAGTGAAATTTGAATTTCTTATCATTTCCATACAATGAGATATTTTTATTTTATTTCCACCATCTAAAAATATAAAAACCATTCTTAGCTTGCATGGCTGCAAAAAGAACAGTTGGCAGGGTAGGTGGCTCATGCCTGTAATCCCAGTGCTTTGGGAGGCCAAGGCAGGAGGATAACTTGAGTTTGAGACCAGCCTGGGCAACACAAAGAGATCATGCCTCTATAAAAATTTAAAAATTAGCTGGACATGGTGGCAGGAGCCTGCAGTCCCAGCTACTCAAGAAGCTAAGGTGGGAGGATCACTTAAGCCCAGGAGCTGGAGTCTAGAGTGAGCTATATTCACGTCATTGCCCTCCAAAATGGACAACAGGGTGAGACTCTATAAAGAACAAAAACATAAAAAAATAAAAAGGGCAAGCTTGATGGCTCATGACTATAATCCCTGCACTCTAGGAAGCCGAGATGGGTGAACCGCTTGAGCAAGAGTGTGACCCTACCTCTACTAAAAATAGAATAACAATCAGGGCATCGTGGCAGGCACCTGTGGTCCCAGCTACTCAGGAGGCTGAGGCAAGAGGGTTGCTCAAGCCTTAGAG